CAATGGTCAAAACAGAAGGCCCATTATAGGTGGAAAAACCTGTTATTTTCTTTATACTTTTTGAATAAGATGATAAACATTGGCCTAATGCCTTAAATTTACCAAGTGCTTTTAATAAGGAAGATTCTTATCAAAGGTGAAATCTAATTCAATAACTTTGAGATCTTTTAGGGTTTTCAAACTCTTTTTCAAAAAAAGTTCCCCAAATATGTACAACAGTTAAAAGTAAAATACCTCCATACCACATCCTATAGCCAAAAATTAACTCCAACTGGATCAGAGACCTAAATGTATGAGATGAAACTCTAACTCTGAAGAAAACAGAAGTAAATTTTCATGACACTGGGCTAAGCAATGGCATCCTAGATGATACCAAAAGCACAAGCAAAATAAAACAAAAAGGTAAATAGGACTTCATCGGAATTTAAACCTTGTGCTACAAAGGACAGAAAGTGACAAGACAACCCACAAAAGGAGAAAATATTTGCAGGTCTTGTTTGTCATGAGATTTTTTTTTTTTCTGTTTTTTAGTAGAGACAGGGTCTCACTCTTGGTCAAGCTACTCTTGAACTCCTGAGCTCAAGCAATCTACCTGCTTCAGCCTCCCAGAGTGCTGGGATTATAGGCACGAGCCACCACACTCGGCCTGTCATGAGGTCCTTGTATGCAGCACATACTATATCAAGAAGTCTCATGATGCAATAAAAAGACAATTTAAGAACTGGGCAAATGATCTGAATAGACATCTCTCTAAAGAGGATATACAAATAGCCAATAATGATATGTATAGATGCTCATTAGCTGCTAAAGAAGTTAACAAAGCTGTTATTTTCTTTAAAAAAAAAATGAGGTGCAGGTGCAGGGGCTCACGCCTATAATCCTCAAACTCTGGAAGGTGGAGGTGGGTGGATCGCTTGAAATCAGGAGTTCAAGACCAGCCTCAGCAAAGTGGGATGCTATCTCTACTAAAAATAGAAAAATTAGCTGGGTATGGCAGCCCCAGCTAAACAGGGGGCTGAGGCAAGAGAATGGCTTGAACCCAGGAGTTTGAGGTTGCTGTGAGCTAAGCTGAGGCCCTGGCACTCTTAGCCATGTCACAGCATGTCTCAAAAAAAAAAAAAAAAAAGGGGCGGTGCCTGTGGCTCAAAGGAGTAGGGCGCTGGCCCCATATGCCGGAGGT